CTTTCAAATTTTAGGGTCATAATCGGCGGAAACTTTCCGACTAATCCCTATTTTTTTCTTGAAGGGGCTATTCCTTAATTCGGGTTGGAAATAGATAGGGAGTGGTTACCGAGCGGTAGCATGAATGCTCAATTCTTGCATTCCGTTACGATTTGCCAAAAGACACTCTTTTCAAGAAAATCACCAGAAAAACCGATTCACGGTAGCTTTGAGGTTTACAAGTTCCCAAAGTTCCTATGGCCCCAAATAAGCAAATTTAGCCTACTACTACCAGAGTGGTTAGAGTTCCTTCACTGATTTGCTTGATTTATGGTTGTTAAAACGCCAACAGACTCTGATTGCGGCACAAATCTTGGTAATGCTCCGTCATCCACAATTCAGTTCAAGCTTCCGATAAGACATTGGCGACAGCGTAGCGCGCATGCGCGTCAGATTTTTGCGCGAAAGGGCATGGTTTTCGCTCGATTCACTCGATATTTGTTGTGTTAGAAATTTGTCCGTCTACGTAATTTTGTCCTGAAAATACTGTGCCATTTGCGAGTAACAATTACTGGCAGAGAAGTGTTAGTTTTGGAATAACATCAAAAAGTGGAAAAGCACGTACGAGGCGTACGGGCTGCCATCAATTGTTAGGTAGCTAAAGTCTAAGGGGTGGGGCCGTATTCGTATCATGTCGGACACGTTGAGTGAAACCTCCATCATATCCTTCTGTGGGATGTATGATATTTTTGGGGAGTTTAAAGGAGTTTTAAAACAAAAAATTGGAATTTTCCGTAAATTAGTGTCAACTGGTATTTCTACTGCTGTAAATTGTTTCTTGTTCGAAGGTTTTTGGGAAGTAGGGGCATAGTTTGAAATTTACGAGAAGTAGTTGTAATGTGTTTCACGGAAAAGCTCAGCGGTGCCACGGACACGGGTGCGTGTTCGTAAAGTCACACTGCGATGGACGCGGCGAGGAACAATGGCCAGCACTGTTACTTAACCTTGAAGACATTACCTATACCATTATTATTTACCGTAACCTAAATCCACAGTGTAGTAGTGGTGAAAAGACTCGAATGGCAGAAAAGGAACGATAGTGTAGTATAATCAACTTCAGCTTATTCATGCACTTCTTCCACAGGGTTCACATATGCAAGCAATTCGGTCCACACTTTCGAAAAAAATTCCTGATCATGCTGAAAATTCTTAGGACGGTGTCCATAAGTAAGTAAGTACATCATCCCGACACTACTACTGATTGGAGGCGGTTGGAAAATTCGAGCAAATCTATTATCGTTTGAGCAAACTAGCAGCGGCTTGGGCTATCGCTCATCCTTTCGCCGCGTTCGCCACGGCTGTGACGTCATCAGTTCGCACCGCGTCCGCGTCGCAGCTTCCCTCTCTCCTCCCCTTGTGCACCCTTTTAGGGGATAGGAGCATGAAATATCAAGGTATTGCAAAATAGAATTAATGCTAGAAGCTGTGTACAGTGCAAAAAACAAAGCATAGTGTTGTGCCAGGTGAGCAGAATTTGAGAGCTGTTCTGTTGCCGTTTGCCGTTCTCGTGTCCATTGACATGACATATGTATATACTCATGCACTTAATTAAGGTTCCAATCAAGCACGAGCCTATAGTCGAAAAACCGAAGGACCCAGCTTATGGCATTTAAACGAAAATATGATGCTTAGCAGATTTCAATTCAGGTGATTACATAGATAATACTTGGGGTAGAGCCGTTTCAGCGAACGTGGAACGGCTAATTAGTTTCACGTAGTAATTTATCATGATATCCATTTGTGCAACCTCCTGTGGGGACTCTGAATCGTACGGATATATCATGCGTAATTGTGATTCCATTTTCTTCCATCATCAGCTTGTACTTAATCTATTGCATTGTTCTTTCCTCTGTGAACGGTTTTGTTTTCTTTTCATTTTCTGCATTTCCCCTGTCTGTGTGAAATACCTGTGGATGTGTGCAAAGAATTGTGATGCCATATATTATTATCATTATCATAATTATTTATGTATAATTGCTAACTCAGCAGAAAAAAAAAGAAAATGAACATGATGGCGCACTGAGAAAGACGTGTTATATGAAAAGAAAGACAATTCCATGCGTAGAGATTTGGAAAAATCAATACATAGAAATGATAATGATACTGAGCGCAAAATAACCAGTAACGTTGTAATATTCTCGTTTCAATTGTCCCAAAATGCTGGTGCTGTGTTAAAGCAGCGATCTCGTGAAACTACGCGTAAATATAAAAATGTACATAGAATCTAGTAAGAATCGCAAATTAATATCAGTGAGTATCTACAAATAATTATTAGAGGTAGTGTGATGATAGTCTCATAACTTTTTTCACACACTATCACACGGCATAAATTACATTGTTTCCCGCGGCCGGGTATGTCGTAATTGCAGACTTAGTACATAGCATCACGTGGCATCGGCGCCAAGTATTTGAATGCACAGTCGTTTTTTCTCAGGGCGATCCGCACGTGTACTGGTGGTTCCGCAATTACGACATGTCCGCCCTCAGGAAAAAGTGTATGCCAGCCCGCCCACTCATACATTCATCGTACATGCTGAGCGTCGCAAAACAGCAGATGAAAAGAAGAAACAGTGGATAATATGAAGCAGGTCAACAAGAACAATGAGTAGAATGAAACGTACAGTGTCAACAACATCGCTTAGGATTTTTTTTATGTTTTTGGTCATTGAGCAGAGCCTGTCCATGATACAGGATTGCCCAATACCAGTCATCCAACTGCATGTCAAACAGCATGTCAAAAAACGGGCAACCCTTATGAATGGGCAACTCGAGAGGAGTTCTCGGAGCTGTTTCCAGTTGTTTGTGTGTGATGAGGTGCTGCTCGATGCTCCAAGTAAGTAAATCTCAGAGTAAAGTGCCGGAATTTTGACGCTCAATGGATGAAAGCGTAGAATATCGTGGATTTGGTCGTGATGTACGGCTGAAATTGAAATAATTTTTGAAACGTTGGGGACAGCGCGACGCGGTTGCGCGTCACACGTTGCGCAGTCTAAACACACACATATGATCCGCTATCTTCTTATGCGCTTACGCGACTCTCCGCGAGTTTGATCCATTCTCACGTGAAAAATCCGGTCGAGAATTCCGTCCGACGTTCATCGAGGTAAAGTTTCTTGTCCTGTTTCAATAAGGCTCTAGGGACCAGGGTCAAGCGTCCCGGGGCGTTGAGGAATCCTCGACACGTCGCGGGGGGGGGGGGTCGTATTGGCCCGCTGGGTGGAAGAGATCGAGCCATTTTGATGCAGTGGGATCATCACCGTCGGAAGACAAATATCAAGGATGAGTCGATGCCAGGCCAGAGGATTTCCAATGAAAATGATATTTCACCCACACAAAATTTTCGTGATTGATTCTGAGGCGTCCGGTAATTCTTAGTTACTTCAGTGTTTTATCACCACACAAGTTAAAGAATCTGAATTTCGCACGCGCTTTTGCCAAGAGATATTTCATCTTTTTCCAGTAACGCACACCTCTACCTTGCAATTCTGTAACGGATGTTAGGATGAACACAGATCGTCCGCGACATCCGAGAAAGGGTCTAGTTGTTGCGCGCGCTTCAACTACGGCTCCTTGGACAAACAACCTCAATTCAGGAACAATCGAGAGAATTCTGAAAGTGTCCGTGCGCATTTACAGGGAGGTGTACACCATTCAACATTGCGTTAACGGACTCTTCAGGGTTAAATTTATAAACACGTAGCGACCAAGCAGGTGCCGGTTATTGTACCCTTTAAAGTTGAGAAACGCTAATCAATCACATTTCTTAGAAAGAGAAAAGCAATGATTCCAAATCTGCTCTTACTTTAGTACATAATCGCCCTTAAAAGGATATACAGCCGTTGAAATAGTGCCAATGTAGCGAAAAAGTACCTTTCGGCGGTACTCGTGCAAAAATCCTCAACGTAGCCGTTTTTTTAATACTGGAACGTTTGGAGCAGTTCTAGTAAGCATTTGCTAGAGCATCTTCCGTCTATAACCATTGATCGTGACGTTATTAACTTCCTTCCAGATTGGATGAGTTTGAACGGAGTTATGGCTTTAGGAAATAAAAAAACTCGCACTCATCACAAATTTTCCTCGTTAATTTTGCAAAAATCCTCAACGTGGCCATTTTTTGAATACTGGACGTATAGAGCTGCTTTAGCAACGGTTTGGTAGAGAAAATCTTCTAGTTTTGTCTGCCATATTAACTTTTCGAATTTGACGAAAATGAAGCAAGTTATTGCTTCGGAAAGTGTAAAAACTCGTGCTCGTCTCGAATTTTCCTCGTTAATTGATCTAAATTTGTTATTTCTTATAACTTTTTGTAATTTCAATACTGATTAGAAAAAGCTCTTCACAAAACTTCCAAATCTGCTTTCAGATTGAAAATTCGTCATATTTGAAGAAAGTTATAATCATTTGAATATTTGTTCAAATTTCAATAGTAAATAAGCTGCTCCACGGTCAACGCCAAAGTCCAGTCAACACACAGCTGGCGAAGGCTTTTACAAGGCTTCCTTTGAGCGAAAGGGGGACGTGTAAATTGAGAACCATAATCTGTGTAGTACTAGAATTTGGTAAGTCTTGTGGAGGAAATAAACAAAGAAGAGGTGTTGTCATAGTACGCCATTTCTAGTGACTAGTTTGACGTTTTTTGCTCCGTTTCTCGTTTGCTCGTTTGGTTCTGTTTCAGGAACCTCATCAATAATGATTATTCTTTGACTTTTTCACTTTTGTACTTCTTAAACGAATTTTTTTGTGGGCGGTGGGGTAGCAGGGCTTTTTTATGAGCAGTTTTGGGGGAGAATTAAACAAGCTTTTCAACCTTTTCATAGTTCGGCTTTTGAAGAGGGTTGTTTCATGGACTTCGGCCTCCGGCGGAGGGTGGTGGGGGGGGGGGGTCGTATTTCCAAATTTTCCTCAACGCCTCGCTTGACCCTGTGCGCGGCACACTCGCCATGCACGAGCCGTCTGTGCTTTTCAAGCGTACATTCGCCCTCTAAACTAGTCTTACACAATACAGAGCCATGGTCGAGGATTCCTTCGGTCGTTGTCACCTTGGTTATCACTCAAAATATACGGAAATGAGGTGAATGCGCGCTCGTAAGCTCCCGTCCCTCGTGGCCAAATAAGCTGGAGCGCTCGCTGTCGTCAACGTGTTAAGTTCGCGAAAGAACCGAATGGTCTCATAAATGACAAATTTTGCCTCTCATGGCTTAACTCACCCAATTCTCGAAGATGGCTGATTTTCGACATCAGCAGGTCGAACACGACCGAATCGGGGAAATCGTCGTTGATTCGCATCCGCAGCGCAGCAACAAGCCTTTCCTGTATGCGATCCACTTCGATTTTTGAGTGATAGTAAATATTTTCTGAAAATAGCGCGAATAAACATATCGAATTTTGCTTGAAGTAGTACACTTTTAGTTCTTTTCACTTTTTTAATGGTTAGTGCTGCGTGCTGTCGCTCCGTTCACCCAAGCTTTATTCCTTTTGTTCCCGAGAGTTTTTGTTCAAAATGGGTTCAACCAATCAGACAGTACTGTGCTGAGGAATTTCCGACCACTAGTTTTGCAACCGCGATGCGACTGCACGCGGCTGCCACTGATTAGCTCTCTCGTCCTTGAGAAACAAGATGAAAAACACGACGGGAATCGTTTCATACTGTCAACGCTGCACTTAATTGATATTACAGTACCTGTTGTTGTGAGGAGTACGGCTGCGAAGATCGCCACCACTTCGTCACTTAGGTTCAGACCTTTCATAGCGTGTGAGAAGACAAATAGTTCGTTGAGAAACTGGCCGAAGATCAGGCTCAGAAATGCTGTCGGCATGAAGGTGCCGTCGACCAGAAGCAGTCCTCGCGACGATAGGCCACGATAGGTGCGAATCAGAAATATCCGGAAGAATGATGACTGAAATGTTGATTTTGAGAAAAAGAAAAGTTTGTTTTGTGATTCAATACATCCCAAGCATTTGCTGAGGACCTTGGGATAGCGATGCGCGAGGCCTGCTGTTGATGGATCATCTGTAACCATCGACTGATGGCCTTCATACGCTCGCTTTGTATCCCTTACCAAAGGTGCGCAACTGATGCTTGAGCTAATTGCGAATGTCATAACTGGGTAGCGCTTACTTTTATCAGTGCTTGTTGATCGCCCTGAATGAAGTGTAGGAAATCCTGGTACACGTTTCGCGAATTCGACGGTCTTGTGGATATCCGGCGTAACTTTCTCGGTGTAGATCTCCCATGCATGCAGCTGGTTGGTTAATGTTGGCGGCTCGACAATGATCTGGAAGTAGCGAGAATTTAGCCCTCGTTGGCTGCAGGGATATTCTAGCAAAAAGCCTACGAAATCAAGTGCGTGCTCAGAAATCGCTCGCTGCCGTTTCAGCGTCATCGCCGAGAATTCCTCATGAGCTTCGTAAATGCGTGAATAATCTGAAAGTGGACACTGAAAGAAATGAAAATGAATGGCGAATAGATGAAGAAAGAAAGAAGTTATCCATGAATTTGGATAAACAGTTGTAAGCTAAATTTTTTAGCGTTTATAAGCAGATTGTAAAGTATGTCAGATCACAAGAACCTATGATTTAAAGGCAAAGTCCGGGATAACAAACAGGTATTTTCGCACTGCAAAATAAAGGGATGTGAAAGTGTAGCGCCAACAACTGAAAAAGGGAAGTAACCGTCGACAAAGCCGAAAATAAAACCCTCTCCAGTAGCAGCAAAGCGAAATAGAACTGGTTAGTGGGCGGGCTCAAAAGTGATGGGCGGGGCAAACACTTGCATCCTAGGGTTTTACCGAAGCATCCCACAGTTGTGTACCGCTTGGTACCGCCATCACTTTTACCGAGAAGCCTAATTTTGAGGAGAGATTCCGGATCTTCCTTGAAGGCTGCTTACAAATGTCAAAAAATCTCACAATTAGAGAACTGCCAGGCGAAATGGACCTTCATTCTGTCTCGAGTGTTTAAATAATGCTATAACCAAGCTGCGATCAATCATAATATACTATTCGCGGATGCGCCACGCGTTCTACTGACTATTCGGACGCAGTTCTGCTACTCAATAACTTAGTGATCAGCCGTATGGAGCGAACGGCTGTAGTATCTTGCCAGAATTAGCTTGCTATATATAACCAACCTCCGCAAGGTTCGAAAGGCTTCGTTGGTCAGAACGGCGTACAAGCTGGGATATGATTACCTCCCATGCTGTGGTAAGCGAGGCTCCTGCTACTACATATACCACATCTACCCAGTCTGGATGTTGGTATATAGTAGAGATAATCGGACGCATGGTTTGGCTGTGCAGTAATAATCGCAGACTTATCAATACACGTGTCACTTATCATATAACATCAAAAGCATCGAAAAAAGTGATTTCACGAGACGGCCCCCACGTCTGCTTGCTTGGTATGCACTTAAAAGTGCAGGGCCGTAGGAAACAAAGTACGCATTAAAGATGGACAGACCTATACTCTGCTTTCGGAAAGCAGAAGCGCGTCGAGTGCAGAGCACACAACACAAGTGACGACGGTCTTCACAAAATGTAATTGTTGTTTAATTTACCAGCCATCAGCGTTCACTACGAACCACTAGTTATCAGGTTCCTCGGAGGCCGTCGTCAATTGTGTTCTTAGGGCTGCAATAGGCGCGCTTCTGGTTCTCGGAAACAGAGGGTACGGCAACATTTACCGTTTACTGCCCCACTACTCCAAAACGGAGCCGGGATTTTACCGAAATTCTTCCATGACTGAGGGACTGGCTAGAAGGTCGTCTCTGAGGTATTTCAACCCGTAGAACACGAATACCTCACCAATTTGGCACGAAAACACGTGGGCCCGCGCCACAGGCGCGGCGCTATCACAACAGTTTTGCGCCGGCGCCGTAGCGCAGGCTACAGGCTCACTCGCAACGAACTAATGTGATATTCATGTTCTACGGGTCAAACTACCTCTGAGGACAAGTTTCCAGCGAATTTGGTGATCCGAGATGTTCTGGCGCCTTTTGGCGCCGGCACTTCTGGCGCAGGCGCCAGGCGTTTTCGCTAAACGAATGTGATATTCGTGTTCTACGGGTCGAACTACCCCGGGGCAACTTCTAGCCAAATGCTTGGTCATGGAAAAATTTTGGTAAAAAGAGGTAACATATCTTCACATAGATTTCCAGCTTTCCGAATTCCACTGCATCATGAGCTCCGGAAAGAAATCAAGATTCAGCAGACTCGTAGGAATGATATGTTCTACCAGCCCCGTGGTTCAATTGACAGTACGTTCCAGCTACAGGAAGTAAAGAGACCATGCTTCATAGCATAAAAATCCATCACCGTCACGTACACTCAGAAAACTTTTATGTGTCCCTACATGCAGCCTGAAGCTTTTGCTCGGAAAGCTTTCTTATTACGTAGAAATGAAACGTACCTGGTTCAGCACTGCCTTGAGAGGCTCGGGAGAAGTAGTGGACGATACTTCAGGTTTCTCCTCAGAATCCGACGTGTCCACATCAGATATCTCTTTTACAGGGCGTTTTGGAACACGACCAAAGCGCACTGCTGGAACAAAGCCATGGAATATTAGGCCACAATCTTTTGGTGCAGGTACAAAAAGGGCACTCAAATTCATAAAATGCTTCAGAAAATAATTTTGCAATAGGTGTAATGAAGGGAAACGAATTTCCAAGTTTAAACTCGCACCAAAGAAGGTGTACGGTAGCTCTACTGCCACAACTATAACGACTCATCATCTCCTAAAACTCACAGTCTTGCACTTCTACACGTATGCATTTTTTAAAAAGGAAGTTGACGCGATTTCGATTCTGTTTGTAGCATCGGCCAGCGCTATCACGTAAATCGATACGCCTACGTTCTGTTGCTTCGCCGGAGAGATCGCGTGAAAAATCGAATGCCAATTACCTGTAATAGCTTCGGGGTTGTGCAGAGTCCATCTCCCTCTGTTCTCTTAATGATGAGCGTCGATAATTACTGTAATCTGCCATTTTGGCGCGTGTAGGCCGCTGCTGGGTTGCGCAACTACGGACACGAGAGATGCTCGTGGAAATAGCGTCGTGGATATGGCAGTGCCGAGGTAAGCAGACAGACAGCCTTATTAATTTGTCATCTACATCTACTCCACAGTATTCAATTGCATGTCAGTAAATAAATCTACTAGGCCATTATTTTTCACGTATTCAAAATACGCTGTAGAATATGACAGGGATTACGGTAGGATAGGTACCGTAATGACTGGGATGTAGAAGGAATGTGGATTTTATGTTATTTAAAAGCTTGCAAAAGTTCAGGAGATAGTTGAGGTTCTCAATAGAAACCCTGTGGAGTTTCCTCATTTTCTCTCATAGGATTCTACTGGAAGAGTCTCTTCCAGTTATCTAGCGGTATTATGCCATCAATTTCGTACTCACTTTAAATAATGCTTTATATATCATTTGATGAGGTGATATAAGGACTACGGTTAGAGGGAAGTCGTAATGATTGATAAAGCAAAAAAGGTTCAAATGTTTAAATAATTTCTGCGTAATTTGTTGATCAGTTACTGTAGAAGACGCTTCATAAAACTCAATAGGTTTCCGGACCTGATGCAGATCCTTTCAACAATGAAACTGTTGCAACCCTGACTGGTAGCACAGATGACAAATAGTGGGGTTCAGAAGAAAATCCTAGTCGTGGTAAACAAAAAATACGTGAGTTTTATCGCTTTGCATCATCTTTTTAGATTTGTGGTTAGATTTGCCGAATGGAGAGAAATGACCTTCGGTTGGTTGCGTACGTGGACACATACCTTACATTACTGGATCACGAAAGAACTGTAAAACTACCTTGCATCCTTCACAAGATGTCACTCCATAGTGATAACCGCTGGCCTTGTCACCGCATACCTTGCATATTAGCAATGGTTTACCACTGACCGGTACCAGTAATGTGGCAGCCGGTTGAGGTGATGTTCGCTCTGGAATAGATATCATTCAGGAATAGTTCAATCAAAATGTTGTGGAATAACCCCAAGTTCAAAAACTTAAGGTTAACAGATCCTTTTGATACGGTAGTTTACAATTTAAAAATACTCGAGTACGGTGCAAATGCAATTCATTTTTCAACCAGAACCACATTACACACTGAGTTCGATCGTCACCGTGTTTCACACGGTTTTGCAGGTTTTTCGTTCTCTTCCAGGCAACTTACGGAAACTCCTTGGTGCATCTCGCATTAAACACGATGACTAATCGATATAGGTGTTTTGCGTGTGCGACGGAATGACGGATTGCGCAACAGGACGCGGGTGCAAGGCAGACTCGAGCTCGGCGGCACCTCTCGATTTATGGCACCACACACCTCGCCAGACGCCCGTTCGTCTTCTTTTTTTGCATTGGAGACAATCCAGCTATTGGACGCTCGGCGTCAGTTATTGATAGCAATGACAAAACGCGCCTAACTGCAACGAGCACTAAGTGGTACTGACCGCTGTGATTCATGCTGTTATCTGGGAATGTCGTCTGAGCTTGAAAATCGGACGGTGTCGGAAAGACTGCTTGTTCTGTGTAGTAGGATGGTTCCTGTTTGTACTGACGATAGGAAAAGGCGTTCGGTTCGTCCGGTACGGGATTCGATAACGACGGGCTGTAGAGTGATGGGACCTGAACACGAAAGGTTATAAGGGATGTGAGACTCAAAATTGCTAGCTCATTGAACCAACCTCGTAAGGAGAATAGCTTTGCGGAGCCCATGCTTGTGGAGGACTTGGCTTTTCGGACTTCACAGAAATCATCTGAGGTGAGCTGGAGATGTGAGGTGATCGATATTCGGATACATCACTAAGACTCGTGTATTCGTAGAAGGAAGATGACACCCGTGAGGAGGACGGTGAGTGGGCCGAGAACCCATCGAAGCTCATGCCTGCAAACGAGATAAAGAGGTTATGAGAATGTTCACATAAAATGCACAACGCGTCCTGGAGATTTATTGAAAATCGCATTCAAAAAAAAGAAAAAAATGGTAAAAAAAAAAATGAAAAAAGGTTCAAACAAAGTCATTCATAGGCATCAAGATATCTTCATCATAAGCTTTTCATAAGGAAAATTAAGAGATCATAAAGCGAAAGGATTGGGAAGTAAGAAAGAAAATGGTTCAAGCATTCAACGAGCTGATGCACTGTATGGGGTTGTCGAGCCCGAATCACACAGTATGGTCCCCAGCCAGTGGGCGGGGCCCGATATCCCGTTGCAGCGATCAGCCATTCAATGAGCAAGTTTGCATAATTACGTGATTCGCGCTATAATCCCGTTGCTTTTAGGTCGAGACTGTACAAAGTGGTCCAATGAATGAGAACATTGAATAGAAACTGGTTAGTTGAGTGGAGTACTTGTCAACTGAGTACCAGTAATGAATAAGTTATCGCATATGGGATTGTTAAAGAGTTGAAATGAATCGGAGAAAATTGTGGCGCTGTTTGTGTGTGTGTGATAGGCGGTACGGCCGTGACAGGCATGACATTGCGCTTGAAGTTGTTGTTGGTTATTTGTTCGTGATAAGTGAAGCTGTTTCGTCCAGACGCCATTTCAGATGCAAACACGTCTGGAGACTGTCTTCCGGAGACTTGTCGTCCCATCACCCACAAGACAATGAACAATAGTGAAATAGAAATCGGTGAAAATTCGATGAGAGTCACAAGGAATATCGAAACCTCGAGAGGGAATTTACGGTCATTGAATTGTTGCGTACATAATTGTACTCGCGAATATCGCATCATAGTAGAAATCAATGTCAATCGTCTATGGCAATGGTCAGTTGAGCGTCGTCGTTATCGAAGAACTCATTATCGTATCGACCTTTCATTGTGATATCGAATGATAAAAACAAACTGCAAATAGCGTTATCATTCCGACGCTCCGACTGACCACTACCGATCTCCGCCAAAGAATGGCTCGAACAGACACCCCGCATTTTGTGCAATATTGAATTATTGAAAAGGAAATTCACAACACGTTCAGGTACCAAGGACG